TTTTTTTCTAAATTATCTTAAAAGTGTACCCTTATTTTCACACAATGTATTAAAAAAATTAATTTTTCTAGGTGATGCCCTACGAGTCGACATCCAACCCTTTCGGGTCATTTTCATATTTGATTTCCAGGGTTGAAATTGAAATGATACCTAGTCTTTTTTCTGGCCACAAAAAATGATATGTAGTTTTTAGTCTAGGATTGTGGTTCACTGATTTGTGTATTTATAGTGCTTAGGTAGATAGTTAGTTAATAATGTAATAAATATATTTTTTATAATTAATTTATATAAAAAAATATATAATAATTATATTTTTAATGTGTAACTTAAAAGTACAACATAGAAAATCCCATAGTTTAATTTTTTCTGTGCAAGTTTAGCAACCTTTCGTGATGGTCACTGGATATTCTTGAATGAATCTTGACCTCAGCCTTTCCTCTCAAGTCCTTAGCTCAAGTCTTATTCACAGCTTTTGTTTTTGTAACCAGCAACAGGTGAATGTTTGGTATAACAGTACTATATTTTTTATGAGACTTTTTCTGTTGCAAAAATTATATAAAGCCAGGTCAAATGGAGCTTTTTAAAAATGTCATTTAATTTTTTAAAAATTATTTCAGTTTTAAAGGGCTAAAAATTGGAACTTAAATTGTGTTTTTTTTAATAAATCTTTTGTTTTTAAAATTTTAAATTTTTTCATCAATTTTTAAAAATTTTATAATTAGTTTATATAAATTTAGAATTTTTATAAAAAAATTTAAACAAAACTAATTCTACAAGAGCTATATAAAAAACAAAATAACGTGACAATTTAACAAAATAGTAGAAAAAATATTAAATTTCTAGTTTTTTCCATTAATTTGCTAAAAAGTACTTCTAGATACTTAATTATGTAGTGGTTGTTGTTTAGTTGGTGAAGGTGATTGCTCTTTAACTTATTAAAATGTATTATATATTACCTAATCTCAAACGTTAATGTAAATGATTTATTTTTAACTTAAAAAAAATTATTTTGAAATAGACGGAAAACGACTCATTAACAATATAATGGTTAAATTTTTAAAAGAATATACTTTTATATTGCTAATTTTTTACTAGTAAATTTCGAAGGAGTGGTGGGCTTGATTGGTAAGAAATTCTGCTTCTTGTTTTACTGATTAATATTTATTTAATATATTAATAAGATAAATAAATAAATAATTTCTATGCAACTTTTAAAGGTTTTTTTTTAATTGTGCTTAAAATTGTATTTATTACATATCTTTACTATTAATTTATATAAAAGAGTTATAAAAATAAATTTTATTTTTAATATCAACATCACATAAAACAATATTTCATTAGACTATTTATAAAATTTTAGTCAATTTTTTATTTTTTATGTAAATTAATACTAATAACAAACGCAATAAATATACTATTAGAAAACTCCATTTCGACCTTTAATTTATCTTCTACTGGTTTAAAAGTTTTTCAAAGTTATGCTTTAAAAATAGTATTTTTTTATCATAAATATATAAAATGATATTAATTTAATATTAATTTTAAGTAAATAAATTTAATTAAA